GGAAGATATCTTGTCCATTACCACTGCACATACGGGTGGCATTTCAGAAGCCAGCACAGAGTTCCCTCTAACTTGCTGTGGGCAGGGTTAGCTCTGTAGGAAGAGGCATATAAAAAAGGGAATGCACACTCTGCTCCCTACCAGCAGGCACCTGCCAAAGGCTAGGAAGAGCCAGAATGAGATTCACAATCAAGTGATAAGGTTAATGTTGGATCACCACTGTGTCAGTGTGACATTGCAGCTTTTAAACTTTGTTACAAGTAGTTCTTAAGTAGTTCATTAAAGCATCCCCTCTACAGCTAAGCCACCTCCCTTCTTCCTTGAAAGTAACAGAGTTTTGGCAATATCACTAGGGAGAATTCTTGACTGTATGGTAACGAATACTCCAGGCTTCATCTTAATATATACAAGTAGAGCACAGAATCAAGCTTTGATGTCTCTTCCTCTTAGCATTTCACACCTTGAGAGCTTGTGACCAGTCATGTTGAGATGTATTTACTATTAAATAGAACAAATTAGCAATAAAAGGGACAGATTTGAGGGAAAAACAAGAGGAACAGGGTTCAGCAACAGATTATGTTCCTGCAATGTCGGGTCACTTACACTTGAAATTCTGCCAGAATCGAGCAAATCCTATTTATTGTTGCAAAATCTTTGCCAAAGCACACCCAAGGGCAAAAGTCTCTCAGACAAACACACATAGATTAAAAGCTGCCAGAAAGATCAGCTAGTGGGCTGGCTGCCTTCTACTTCTTGTATACTGGCAACTTATTAGATCAAAACCAGAATGAAGTCCAACCTTTTTCAGGTGCAGGATATTCCTACAGTAGTTTACCTGAGCAAGTCTTCAACAACTAATAATGCCCCACAGTGAGGTCATTTTACAGCTTATCCCATCATCAGCTCTGATGTAGTAATTGAGACATGACTTTACAGAACACAATGCAGCAGCTTGGGAAGCTAGCCTACAATGTGTAGTAAGATAACCAAATGCAATCTGAGAGTAAGGACTGGGTTGGATTTTTTAACCCCCAACAGGCTACAATATCTTCAACTTGATTTTACAAGCAGGTTAATTTATATGGAAACAGAAACATCAAGAGTTTTACATTCAGGAAACAAATCCTGGACACAGTTCTGTCATGACCTGCTCACACAGAATGTTTTGAATGACAAAAAGTTAAGCAGTAGAAGCTGCATGAAAAAATCATATTTGGCTGGATTGTAGGAAACCTATAACAAGCCTCCCCTTCCAGTTACAACCTCTTATATTATGTTTGCTGATACCAGTGGAAAGCCTGTCCAAAGGTTGAGGGAATATGGCCTAAAATACATCGTGTCTTCAGCTAAGAAGAGAAGAAATTGATACTAAAATGACTTTTAAGCTTGGAAGGGTGGAAAGCAAATCATAAAATATAGCACTCATCAAAAAATGAGATAATCCTCCACTGGTAAAGGTGAGCTGGAAGATCCCATAGTAGCACTTCTGCATTCCCAGGTATATGGAAGTCTCTCAGCAGGAAACTCCCAACTGCCCAGCAAAATTAGAAGATACAAAGCAATACCAAATTTGCACATGAATGTTCTCTTTCAATGTGGGAAAGCAGCTAAAATTCACAGAAATTCAGAGAGATCATGGCTTGTATCAATATGTGTTTTGCTGCTGTTTCTGTAGAGAGAATAGTAATATTCAACTGCCAAGTTCCTTGCTTTTGGTGGAACACAGAAGAAATGGAGCAAGTTTCTGAAGCCCACACATGGAAAAGGCAGCATGCCAAAAGCATCCATAAGCACATCTTATGTATTAGACATTAAGCATCCAGAAACACCAAATATCCACATTTCTGAATAAAAATTATCTTTGTCATATTTGTTGAGATTTTAGTTTTCTGGGAGTCCATTTTATCAGCTCTCCAGCCTTTCAGGAAAGACTTAAAAAGCCAACGCTCCTAACATTAGGAAGTAGGATGAATGTCTGAATCTTGACATTCAGTCATAAGCCCCCTTTACATCATAAAAGAGGGGGAGCAAGGAAAAAAACCAAGGTCACAAGTACATATTCAAGTTTTTGTACATCACCTATATGTTTTCCATTTCAAGATACCGCAGTACACTTAACCTTGAATATGACAGCTACCTTGACTACAAATAAGACCATCTGGTTTTGGCCTTATTCCTCCCAAAAATAAAATACCAAAAATTTGTGGTGTGCTTTGTATTTTTGCTTTTACATCCCACTGAACTCATCATTGAATGCACACACTGAAAGAAAATTAGCTACCTCCTTTAAAAGGTGTTATTATAAATATACTGACTCATAAGAGATAGGACAAAGGGTGCCCTGTGCCAACAGTAGTGTGACTCTCTTGGTATTGTAGGGATATGGTTATATACAATTCAACTCACAGCCACCTCCACTATGAACTTCAAAACACAAGTTGCTACTGAAAAGACATGGGTATGTTACAAGTTCAGAAAAATCTCACATTTCAAGACAGTGTCGAGTCTACTCTTCCCCTGCTGGCAAGCAGCATGTTTATGGCAGACCTGAGTATGGGAATTATTTCACACCTTTACATACTTAGGGAAGATATAGGCCAGATGACAGAAAAATACTCTGAAACAGCACAGAATTGGCAATCTCAAGATATTTACAGGCAAAGAAGCATATCGCACCGTAATATAAGTTATTGCTTCTTGAGGACAAGTGTGGTATTCCTTGATCAAGACACAGGACTTGTTTGGTGTTTTATTTTCCCCTTCTGAAGCACAGTGACTCAGCACCCCTGTGAGGATGTTTTCAAAATGAAGGTGTTGCCTATGACTAGAGCTATGCCTACAGCATGGTCATCAGCAACTGATGGTGACAGAAAGCTTACCTAGATGAGTTTCCACAGGTGTTTTCAAACCCATGTATCACTGCCATGCTTCCAGGGTCATTCTAGGCTTGGTCTCTATTACAGGTTTTGATACAAGAAAACCCCCCATAGTCTTTCAGAAGAGATTCATGAATACCAAGAATGTCAAACTAAGGCTGACCTCATGTCAGTTCCTCAAATAATCCAAGGTATTGCTGCTCTACTGTGCTGATGGAAGCAGCGATGGACTCTTGCCTGCAAAACCATGCACAGTTCATTGGCTTGCGGCATGCTTTTCTGACACTGTTCCTAAACATGGGACAACAGTGATAATGGCTGGGTCTTTAAATCAGCTACTACCATGAACTACCAAAACTGAGCTCAAGTTGTAAACAGATTCATGTTTATAATATTTACCTACTTAATCCCCAAGCCAAAGGCTATCTATGACCTCAGAGCCCAGGACATCAAAACACTTACCTACCCCCTTTACATCACTACAGGTGAGTTTCTGTAGGCATGAAGCCGACAGCAAACATTAAATCAATGCAAATGCAAAAGCTTTACTTTCAGAAGATATCAGGAATTTAAAACATTGAAAAAGTGGGCCTGCAGGCAACACCACTATTTGAGTATAACAGGTGCTGTAATTCCTCATCCCCTCCCTCCCTTCCCCAAGATAATACAAGGCAACACAAATATTCTTATTGAGAAAGGGCTCTTTACAGGGAACAACTGTACATTTGATGTGACTGCAGAATTGAACGTGTGACAAAATGATTCTGCTCCCACTGAAAAAGAGAATACAACAGGGCCCCATAGTTACAGGTTCCACTGAAACCAGTGATGTAAAGCCCAAAAATGTAGAAACTCCACTGGCAACTATGACAATTATCTAGTTTGGACTCCTTTAGATTTGCAGCGTAACAAAGGCATTTTACAGAGCAACATTCAGGAGAAAATGTTATCCAGGGAAGAACTGCTCTTCAAGCGAGATGGGAGAGTTTAAGAACACGCACTGCACTTGTTCTCCAGATAGCAGCAGTTGCTCCTGTTCTTTGCCCTTTTTGATATGAATCACAGTAGCAACAGAGAGAAATGTGTACTTAAACAAAAAAAAAGAAAACCAGAATTATTTATGTACAAGAAAAATGTTTGAAGTATTGTGCAACTTATTTTAACTATTGAAACTCACTAAGAATGCTGTTGCTAATAGATATTCATAAACTCTTCCCTGTGCTGTGAAATTCAGAAACTACTACGATTAATTCTCAATATAAAAAGTATGCTTCTAAGCCCTGATATCTGTTCCAGTTTATTGTCTTTTTTTCCCTGTCTTCTTTTATTTTAACTGTGATACTTTATGGGAACTAATATTTATACACAGTTTTACTTGATGTACGCACCCAGAGACATCCTGTGTTTCGTGGAGCCTTGGTTATAACAATATAATACAGCAAAATAATAATAAATTAAACAAATGCAGATGCATTAAAAAAAGAAACAATAACCAAAACAAACCACACTGTCAAATGCTGGTCTCCACATGAAGAGACCAAGGGTTTAGATGCAAAGTACTACAGATCCTGCCACCAAAAAAACATTCAAACAAGGAAACATGAACTTGCGCATGTTTTAAAAATTAAACAAATCCCACCTCGATGTTCTCTCCCCTGTGCCTATAAAAACCTCTCGCTGTGCCCACATTTGCAGTTAGTCATTTACACCTCAGGAGGCAGCCTAGAGATGAGAGTAGTACAATAAAATAATTACCTGAAACACCTTTAAAAAAATACCCGTTAAACAAATTACCTTAACTGGCAGCACTTAAAATTGGTAATTCTTTTCTTTTTCCTATTTTAAAAAAAGTTGCATAGCTGTAAGATTTTGCTTTGCTGCATTTTTTTTTGTAGTTTTTACTCACAAGCAGTAAAAGAGATGTTTTAGTTACTTAAATAGCAATACAATGTGCACATCTCAACAATCTCTATAGTTTGATCAATATAAATTAGTTACCTGTCTTGGTTTTACTCTTTGGACTGCATTGTGACAAAGGTTTAGTTACAAAATTTTGAAATATTCCTACGCAGAGCAGTTTATGTTTTCTGTTCTTGAAAATAGTGAAGAACATAAAACCGGGTGTGAATTCAGTAAATTAAGGTCACACTATTAGAATTTATTTAGTTTGCCATTTACTATTCTTCAGCCAACAAGAAGGTGAAAACGTTCCCACTCAAATCCGGGGCCATCCTCCTGCAAGGGTCTCAGATAGCACGTATTGAACATCTCCGCTTCTACTCGAGGCAGTAGGAAACGTCCAATAACTCGCTTCTTCACAGAACCAGAAGTTAGGCTGAAATTAGGAACTTTGGCGTTCGATACAAAATAGTGTCAGTAATGTCTGTGGGGAGTCGATTGTTACAGGATGTGCAGCATTTTCAAAATCCCTGTGTGTCCTTTGCATGAGTGTTTGGTATACTGAGCACTACTGGCAAGTAACTGGTGTCTGCAATGCTTTTTCCATGTCATTGTCCATCTTTGCCTTTTTCAGCCACAAAGAACTGTAAGTCTCAAGCCAGGCATGCTGTGTTCAGCAAGGGAACCTCACATCTCCTATGTTTTCTGATCAGTGGAAGCAGCTGTTGGAAAAGCAGAAGACAAAGTACCATCATTTCAGCTGTTTCGGTACAGAACACACTCAAACAGCATGAGTACAACCACCGTGTTTTCCTTCCCCTTTTTCCTAAGCCCCTAGTTATCACCATCTCTGCTGTAAACTAAGCAAATAGAATTTAATATGAGGTTAGACACCCATGAGCATGTACAGAGACAAAGGCATTCATGAACAGCATGTAGGTTTCTGCCACAGTCAATAGTTGGGGGCAATATAGGAAATGCATTTGTTTATTAATTTTGGCTAACACTGCCCTGAGATTAAAACAATTATCCCTGTAGCAGGATACCTTCCTTCAGGTTTTCTCTGCTACCCCTGCAACACAGACTCATGAAGCAACATGAAATAAATGCACAAATAAATGCCAGTGATGAAGACTTCAGTTTCCCTCAGAACAACAAAACCAAACCCTCAGACACCAGCCAGAATTTCAGATATCTCTATGTCTCTAAGAATTATGATGATTGTTAGTGTGTTTTGAAATGCTTAGGGGCTTAATGTAAGATAAAGTTTTCAAGCTAGTCAACAAAAAGAATAAACCTATCCTTTAAACTTTTGACACTGATTGCAAATCTGCAATCATTAAAACAAAACATAAGCTGGAAATACGTGAACCTCCGTGAGATGGGATGGATAGAAACAGGTCAACGTTTTTTATTTATTTATATGTTTTAAACATCCTGGAATGCATTAACATGAAAGCAGTTCTGAAAATACCTAGTTTTAACTTTTTCATATGATTCCAAAAGCTTTGTGTCAGAAATAAATGCCAGTAGTCATGAAACAACCCAAAATTACACAATTGTATTATTTTAATTTTGTTTCATTTCCATGGAAAAATATTATTTAGAAGTTAATGGTTAAAGCTTTAAATTGCCATTACTTGCTGCTTTCCAGTACTAAAACTGGAACACAATATTTCAGACCATGCCATGTTAGGATGCAGAAACCTTTTACCTATATTGTAATATATGTCAATGCTTACTGATTAATATTATAGTTCTGAGATATAGTAGCAAATTCACAAATGAAAAAAAAATAGCATAAAAAGTTACTTCAGATAATCAAGATATTTATTGTTGAAATGTACATGTCTAAAAATAAACATTACCTAAAAACATGAATCTTGTCTTAATCTGATGGATGCTCAGGGCAAGATCGATTTACTTCAAACCATTCATCTATGCAGCTGTTGGATACAAAACAAAAATGAAAACAATTGACATGAATATCAGAAACATTTAGCAGTAACATATGAATATAAATTGGTTTGTCATAATTTCAATGACTAGTAGGATTTTATATTATACAAAGTGTATCATACACACACATAATTGGAAAAATTAATAACCCCAAACCACAATAATATTTAGATATTAAACACTGTTGAAAAACTTAATTTCCTAAGCGTTAAAATTTTCTCAGGAAGCATTTTACGAGTTGCTATCCAGCTTTTATACACAGGTTACTTCACTATTAACATTATCAATTTGCTGATATAATTCATTGACATTTTACTTCCTGTAGTTACAGACACTTGTGAAAACAAAATATGAAACAGGTTTAAAAAGCATTCCCCCTCCTCCCTGCCCATTTAGCATTTGACAAAACATAAGCACACTAAGCTCCTCAGCCATGATGTGCACTCCTTCCCCATATAGGTGATTTTGCAAGAATGAGAAGATTATAGCAGGGAAAAATAACTTCAAATACATGGTGAAGATGCAGAGAAATGTCATTTAAAAAACATCTTTAGGGTTGCTGCTGTTTGTCATTTCTTTGTCATTTGTTTTTAAATGTAAAAAGCAACTAAGTTTTAAAGCTCCTTTAAGTACCCCTTAAGGAGTTACCCAGTAAATGCAACCTTCTCATATTTTATATCCATCTCAAGGAATACTTGCCCTTTATGATATATGCAGAGGCAAGGCAGCCGTGCTATAGTATCTCCTTGCTGCAGCTCTTCCAGGCATATTGCACACTCCCCAGCATCTTTACTCAGCACATCCTCTGATAAAAGAGCACAAAGTGAAATGGTTAAAAAGAGACTACTACAGGTAAAATGTTCCTTATTCAGAACATCAAGGACAGCTACAGAAGAAGATATTTCTTGTTCTGCAGAAAGCACTGTCAAGGTAAAGTGACACACCAGCTGATTCATGATGAGAGACCTCTTAGCAGCTCAAAATGAAGTCCTGTAGGAAGACGCCCATATGGAGAAAAAGAGTACCCATAACCAACAGTCAGTATTCCTTTGGAGTTTATACTGTGCCAGCAGATCCATAACCCGTTCACAGGCTCTGAAGACACAGCCACAGTAGACAAACACTGTGTTTGCCAACACCAAGAGGTGAACATTGGAGAAACTGGGTTCTTGATACAGATGGTATGTAATGCCTCCAGGACTGCTTTGAGGATTCAAGCTAAGTGGGTTTTTCTTAGCTGTACTTTCTTCCTTATGCTCAGTTTTCAACATGGAGGCTAAGCTCAAGCCTGAATGTAACATTTCTCTCGACAAGGCACTGTAGGTAAGTAACTAGATAAAATTCTTCCAAACTTCTAAATACTTAGCCTATCGTTTGTTGTTTTTTTTTACGCTCCTACCCATCTGGCATTCTTTTACCAGCCTTGCTCATATTTCACACCCTCCACCTCTTGTCACCATGCAGCAAGTTCTACATCCCATCCACCTTTTTCTCAATGTAAAGTATCCAACTGTTAGCTGTAAGAATGAGAGATTTCCATCAGGGAAAGATCAGTGCTGTATGGCTCCAATGACCCTAAACTCCTGAAGACACTGAATTTTTTGCAGCATTACCAAGTCCCTTAACAAAGGAGGAAAAAGTAAGCTACTAGGAATGCAAAAGAGTTGGCTTTCAAAAAGAAGTTTCTGGGAAAACATATTATTTTTAATAAAAACCTTCTCTCTTGGACACTTCTCTTAGCCAGAACATGGGATGCAGAATTCAGCCTTAGTATGACACAAAACAGATCACGTAAGGCCCTGTTTGCCAGAAGCAGACTAAAAGTCCCAGTTACACACAACCTCACACAGGTCACAGAGCACTCCCAACACGGGACCACATAGCAACCAAGCTGGCAATGCAGTCTCTGGCACAATCAGAAAGGTGCACACTTGGCAAAATAAAGCCCACGTGTTCAAGTTTCCACAGTTTCATGGGAAAAGCTTCCCCTTCTTTACCAAAAGCACCTAAAGCAACTGTTTATGGAGAGTACTCGTTTCCAGGCATGACTGAGAAACCAGCATTCTATGCTGTTCTCTCCAGTGGCTCCAATACTCACCGCTGGCTTTCCAAACACAGAAAATGACAGACAACTACAAAGCTATCATGGTAGCAAAAAAAGTGAGAAGAAATTAAGTCTACATTGTTTCCATTAAATGACAGCAAGTTGTCTTGCAGGTGCTTGGGTTTCTAAAACAGTGCTTATTTCAGTCTCTGCTATATTCATTGGTTATGCTAAAAACACCATATAATGCCATCTTCCTGAGGAGGTGTGAAAAATATCTAACATGAAGTGAATTGTTATAAAGAAGAATATTCAAAACAAAATAATGAAGAAAATTTTAAAAATGTATTTTAATGTGGTAATATTATTAGTAGGCATTGTATTAAAATAATTGCTTCTGTTGTTCTATCAGAAGCTGTAAGCTTCTGAGAACATTAGAGATACTTCAGAGACAAAGTAATTTAAAACAATACAAAACAATATAAAAGATTTTAAGAACTCTTACCTGTCCACTTTTTGTTTTGGTTTTGGTTTGGTTGGTTTTTTTAATAAAAAGATATTCCAATCTCTGACACCAGGAGGCACATACTCTCCAGACAGCATTGTCCTGCTACAGAGATATTAATCTTTGCCTGAAGCTCTCAGACACTACCCTCCTAGACCGCCTCTTTGCATAAGAACTTTGCCAAAAGTCCTATGGGCAGATCTGCCTTCTTCCCACAGTTAGGTTGCAGGAAGCAGCACCATTAATAATGCAAGCATGTATCATGTACACAAAGTATACTTAATAAAAGCAGGTTTTTTCCACGGAGTCCCTTTATCAGATCAGCAACTGCTACCTAAAACAAAATGGCCCTAAGATACATTCAGTGTATTAAACCCCAGCCTTGCTCCCTCAGCACTCTTGAGAGGGAAGCATTTACTCAAGCTTTGATAACAGAAATTAAAAAGCTGTCCGATAAAAATACAGTTCATAAAATGAAGCACTTGTGTGAACTGCTTTCTCATCATTCTCTATTGTACGTGTCCGGCTTATCCTGCGTTCCCCAGATTGCACAACACTCAGGTCTGAACTCCCGCTGAGCAATTTAACAATGTTCTGCACCTTTGGCTAACGTTAGGGCACGATGCCAACTTAAACATTTGTATCTCCCACCAGCCCTGGCGCAAGTGTCTGACACTCCTTTTATTTTCCCTCCAGTATTCCTGTACTCTCCCTCTTGCCAATACTGGCCCTACTGCACAAGTCCCTGGCAAACAGTTTGCCGCCCTCCCTGGCTTTCCGACTGGGATGAGCCACCAGGCACACACTGGGCTTTGCCTAGTCATGCCAGAGGGAGCTGATATGAACACCGATGACGGCTGGCATGGACTGGGCCTGAGAAACACGGTGGAGTTCTGCCACCCCTGCAGAAGAGATTTTGTTAACAGGTTTCAATGCTCCTCTTCCTCTGTAATAATGAGGAGTCAGCATTCCCTAGTTCTTGTGTTAACCTTATTAATCCTGCTAGGCTCTTGTGCATAAATACTGAAGGAATGACTACCAAACACCCAACTGCTATAAATGTCCACATGTAACTTGGCACTACCTATTAGCAGGCTCCAAATCCATGTAATCAAGCTCATAATTAATTACATATGTAGAGCGACGACAGCAAAATCAAATCCTTCATGGACCTATGACACTTTGGGTCTGCTACCTTTTGACCATTTTAGGTGATTCAGATCATCAGTCCCAGATAAAGAAAGAGGAGTGAATAATCCTGTTAGACCTGGATCTGGTCAAACTTTGTTCTCTACTTATTTCACACTCCTGTATCAACACTGGTTTATATCAGATGGAAGTCAGTTTAAGGGCCATTTAACAATGACTCTTAAACATATCTGTTACAGAAAAATCTGTAAATCATTTTGCACAGAACCACTGCAGTCTGAAAATTTTTTTTGTTTTCATCTTTTCCTGCAGCAGAGTGATTCAGCAGCTACACATTATTTCTTTCTTTTTCTCTTAAAAAAACAAACCAAACAAACAAAAACCAAAAGAAAAACCAGAGAAACAGTTCAAAATTTCATCAATGTTATGATTAAAACATTTATATCAGTATACTACCTAAATGGAAGTGGGAAGAGGAAACAAGCATTTTTCCATTTCACCCACATGTGGGTATATACACAAATACCACACCTCCACATCCATCTGCCTTGCACCAAATAGGAGATAAACACTCCTCCGCCTTCCCAGCTACTTGAACAAGTACACACTAGCCAAAAACTGGTGTCAAAGATGAAATCTGGCAAAAGAGCATAGTATTTCTCTCCTGAGTTTGCTCAAGTAGTTCTCCCTCCCCTCCTCTATCTCTAGTTACTACTACTACTGTTTTAATTTCTGGTTGTCAGTGTTTTTTCCTCCTGAAATTCTGCTTTTACCTTCAGTGGAAAATAAATTCTACTCCACTCCTGCATTTATAGCAAAACATGTAGTACTGAATTAAAATACAATCATCCTGGCAAATTTGCACATACTTTGCCAATTAAAAACTTTTTCTATAACTTTTGAAAATATGTTGAACAATTACAAAAGACATTAACTCAGCCATCATTAGGATTATAGGCAATGTCTGTGATTAAATTGTCTTTAAACTGAGGACTGCAAAAGCACATGCAATACATACCTTATGGAATGAGTCATTAAAATCTGTGCTCCTGCTTTCTGTTTTTCCTTTTAAAACACAGATATAGCCCTAGACTCAAGAAACACCAAGTCACAAATCATGGAGGCATTGATAGTATTTGGGGAGATATCACTTTACAGCTGCAGTATTTTATTTTTCTCTAGGCATTCATTGGAAACAGAAGACCAAGTTAGAAACATCTCTGACCTAATAAAATAAAAAATTTTTCAAAATATATGTATTTTTATTAAAATTTAAAACATTAAATGTCCATGGAAGCTGCCACCATAACTAGCTTAACAGTGAAGTGCACCACAAGAGTCCACCCTTTCAGGAACACAACAGAAACTGAACTGAAACACCTTTTGAACAGTATCTTAGCAGAACTAAAACTGTAAAACAAAAGCCATAAGAGGTTAAAAAATATTGATGAAGCGTCATTAAATGGTACATATTACCATGTATCTGTTACACATTCATTAATTTTTGAAGCTGATTACTAAAAACTGTCTTAGTAAAGTACTAGAGACTGTCTTTGCTTGTTTTTAAATGTAGAGCTGAAGAATAATAGCCAACACGCTCACAAGTAGAGCATAAATTCACCCATATTGCAGAATTTATTCTACATTTTTACTGATATGACAAGTAGTCAAGGAGAATCTGCACGTTCCACATGTATCTTACTATTCGGTAGCCAGCAAGCATGTGTGTATGTGATTAACACATTCTTATTAGATGTCACTGACTTGATTTACTAAATCTTCCTGGCTTCTGCTGCATCTGTTTTTTTTCCCTCTCTATTTCTTTCCAGCTATCTCCTACTATGCTTTCCTCCTCTTCACACTTATTTCCCCCAAAATATTATTGTCTCGAGCCCCATATTTTCTACCACTCCTCCTATTCTCCAACATCTTATTTAATTTACTGTTGTAATGCAGCCACTGGAGAAAGGAGAAAGATTAATATTATTAGCCATTATCTGATGGACAGCCTTCTTGTTCGGGGTTAATATCCTTGGAGAAGTAGACACTGGAATGGAAGGAAAACCATTATGCAAGATGTGTTTCTTTCATGTAGCTCAGTAGCTGT